GGGCTGAAATCAAGAGTTGGATGCTCAACCAACTGAGCCACCCAGGCGCCCCAAGCATTTTTTTTTTTAAAGTAAGCTCTAGGCCTATTGTGGGGCTTGAACTCATGACCCTGAGAGCAAGAGTCACATGTTCCACTGGCTGAGCCAGCCAGGCACCCCCTTATGCATATTTTTTGATTAGTGAAGAAAAATAATCAGATTGGGGATATAGTAGGAAAAGCAGGAACTATATCATCAAAGATTGTGTCCAAAAATGCAGGTGTAATTGCAACTGATATACCCTTTTTATTCCCTAGGAACAAATGTGCCCTGTTGACAGTATAAATTTTTTGTTTGACTTTTTACTTTCGACAGTAGTCACATTTTCAGAAACCAATTATGTATGGAAGTGGGGGTGTATGTGCCTTCATGGGAAGGCAGAAGATCCCTTTGCCCTCTCTGATTCTCCTTCCTTTAACACTGGATCACCAAGCGAACTTCTCCTAAGGAATAATGCAGCCGATACTAGGAGGTTGCACATAATTACTTGGGTTCCTGGGTATTTGGGTCACTGGGTCTAATGCCCGTAAAAAAAATGAACAACTTTTGATTCATGTATCCATCTTTTGTGAGTTTAGTCAGGAAAAGTCAGCCCCAGAAAGCTGTTTAGTTTTGGCCTTAACTAAATATGTAGCTAATGGTTACATAAGTAGTAAGGGTTATTAGTCAATTTCACAAAACAAAAATTTCTCTCCTTTTTTTTTTAAGATATGTATTTATTTGAGAGAGAGAGAGCGCACAAGCAAGGGATAGGGGCAGAGGAAGAGGGAGAAGCAGGCTCCCCGCTGAGCAGGAAGCCTGACTCAGCGCTGGATTCCAGGACTCAGTCCTGACCTGAGCCGAAGGCAGACCCTTAACTGACTGCGCCACCTAGGCGCCCCAGACACTGATTTTGTATTTGCAAATGTGCCTACTCACCAAAATACATCTGTAATCTCAAAGCCAATACTCAAGGCACATCTGAGGTCACTTGCAGACACATGCATGTGTAGAGTGGAGAAGAACCTGAGTCACCCAGTGTGCATGTTCCCAGCGGAGGTCCATTTAGCGCTCATGCTTTAAACAAGTCTCCTTTTCGTGGGCTATGTAGTGTCACCTTTTACATATTTTTGTGCTTTTTGTTGGTGACTGTGGTTGAAAATGCCCCCAGGCATAGTGCTGAGGTGCTGTAGAGTGTTCCTAAGCACTAAGATGTGCCTATGAAGAACGTTTGTTTGTTAGGTAAGTTTCATTGAGGCATTAGTTCTAGTGTTGGCCCTGAGTTCGATATTGACAAATTAATGACCTATATTAAATAAGGTGTCTTTAAACAGAGATGCACGTAAAACAAAGTTATATATTGACGGTTTGATGAAAATGTTGTGAGCAGAGGCTCGCAGGAGCTCACCTGTGTACTTGCCCTAGGGGTGTGGTTCAATATTTGCTAAGTCAGTGTTCCCGGTGACATGATAGAACATAACTACTGTGAACAAAGGGAATGGACTGTATATCAGGATGAGTGCCATCAAGGAGGCTACAGAGGTGCTCAGCATGATGGAGAATGATGTGTGTGGGAGGTCTATTCTTGACAGGGTGGGCTGGAAGCTTCTTGGGGGAGGGGACAGCTAAGCTAGGACTCAAAGTCTGGAAAGAGGCTGCCAAGTGGACAGAGAACACTCCAAGTGGAGGGACCAGCAGGGGTCTGGAGGTGAGAAAGACTTGGCCTGTGGGGACCTGAGCCCTGTGGGGGAGGTGATGGAGAAGCAGGCAGGGGCCAGCCTGGAAGGACTGTTAGGACCTGGCTAAGAAGTTTCCGTTTTATCCTAGAGGCCTGGGGTAAAGCTGCAAGCAGTGCAGCAGTAATGAGGCGTCGCTGGGCCCTTGTTCGTGCTCATCACTAGGCTAAAGAGGTCACCGATTTTCCCTTACTCACCTTACCTCTGTGTCTCCAGGGCTGAGGACAGAGCTGGGGCCAACTGCTGTGGCGCAGAGCGTGGAGCGCCAGGGGCCCACAGTATATATTTCCGTACGCATTTGTCATCTGAATGACCAAGTCCTGGGATTTTGCAGCTGTAGCTGTGAAGAAACTGTCGCAGGGACTTTTCCCAGATTGTGGACACCCCCAGGATTCAGGCCTCAGCTTCTCAGGCTGAGAGGCCAATGGTGGGGGAGCTTAGCGCTCAGCTCTGGCGAAGGCAGACCCATCATCCCCTTCCTCCCGTCCCCAGGCAGGAACCGGCAGGAGATCGGATGCTACTTCCATTCCAAGTGGCTCGTGAACAAAAGCTGGGAAGTTGCTAAGAAACCAGCTTTTCTGAGGGTTCACCAGGTTTTCCTTTGTTTCTATGGCCTGGTGTGTGTGAGTGTGCGTGAGCACACGGAGGGCCATCACCCTGCCAGGACTGCAGCAAGCCGGACCGGCAGATGAGAGCTGCAGGCTGCCCTGGGACGCTACCACGGCCCCCGGGGATCACCAAGCCAGGCAGCCCAGGCGTTGAGGGGGAACAAAGGGGAGCCTGCAGCCAGTGGTGGACAGAGCTGTGAGCAGCTGCTTGAAGGAAGCTTTGGATACCCAATCCCGACCGCTTCAGCTATAGCCCTGAAGCCCTCGGGGCGGGAGATACCAACAACAGAACCGAGAGGGGATCCCACTCCCATCCCCTCGTTGAGCTTGGAAAATAAATTCTTGATGAGATCAGGGTCACTACAAAATATAATGTAAGATGTAAGATTTATAGGACTATACCAGGCCTGGCTGACCATGATCTAATTTGCTCCCCATTGTCATATGGGAAATCTGAGGCCTGGGAAGGAGAAGGCACTTTCTCAAGAACACATACTGTAGGGGCACATGGTAGGGGTGCCTGGGTGGCTCAATCGTTAAGCGTTAAGTGTCTGCCTTCAGCTCAGGTCATTGATCCCAGGGTCCTGCTCCCTGGCAGGAAGCCTGCTTCTCCCTCTCCCACTCCCCCTGCTTGTGTTCCTTCTCTCTCTCTCTCTCTCTGTCAAATAAATAAAATATTAAAAAAAAAAAAGAACACATAGCGTATCACAGATGTTAAGAGCACTCTCTCTCTCAGAAGGTCTATGGGCTGCGAGTGGAGGGAAAAAGCCTAAAGTAGGGGCGCCTGGGTGGCTCAGTCATTGGGCGTCTGCCTTCGGTTCAGGTCATGATCCCAGGATCCTGGGATTGAGCCCCACATCGGGCTCCCTGCTCGGCGGGAAGCCTGCTTCTCCCTCTCCCATTCCCCCTCCTTGTGTTCCCTCTCTCACTGTGTCTCTGTCAAATAAATAAATAAAATCTTAAAAAAAAAAAAAAGCCTAAAGTATAAGCTGGAACTCTATTATTCATCCATTTGTCCCTTTTTCAAATACTTATTGAGCCCTTACTCCGTGCCAGGAGCCCCAAAGCCCCAATCCCAACTAAACACAGAGAAAAAGAGAATCCAAAACTTTGGGCAAATTGCCAAGTTGTCCGCATCTGTTTCTGAAGGAGCCTGCCACTCTCACCACCAGAGCTCCCACTCTGTCTCTCTCCAGCTAAGTGCTTTAGATCCTTGCCTTCTACTCTTGCTTGTGGGCTTGGGAGGACAGGGAGCTAAAATGGATGAGAAATGTAATTTCCCCCTGTCCTCCCGCCTGCTCCAGGGAGGAAGGACCTGAACCGTGAGAATCCAGCTGCTTTGGATTTTTCACTCTGTAGGCCCTGCGTGCCTACTATATGCCCAGCACCTTGAGCAAGTCATTCCTGGCTATACACATCAGCCATGGAAGGGCACGTCTGATGCTCTCACCCTGCCCAGTTAAAAATCCTCTAATGGTTCCCACTGCTTTAAAAATGAAGCTAGAGACTCCTTCACATGGCCCACAAGGCCCTGCAGGGTCTGGCTTCTGCCCACCCCCTCCTGCTTTTCTTTCTCCCCCACTCTGCTCACTGACCATCATACCTGTCATGCTCCCCCCACAGGGTCTTTGCACCTGCTGACCCTACACATGGAATGTTCTTCCCTCTCTTCCTTTTTTCCTAGTAAAAGAATTTAATCTTTTTAAAAGAAGCCATTGAAATTTTAGAAGAAAATTAATTTAATACCGACCTTCTGGTTCCAGTGCTCAAAACCTGCCACTGTGGCAGGTGAACTGGTTCTCCCCTCCTGTTCATCAGCCTTCTCCAAGCTGTGGATCCACAGCGCCCTCTGGTGGGCTCTAGGTGACAGCACCAGCAGGCAGCTTCTGCTCATGGTCATTGGCAGTTCCAGGACAAGTCTCAGCCACAGAACCACAGGTGGAGTTGGAAGCACCATCCAAAAACTTCCCGTTTTATGGCAGAAAACTGAGGCCTAGATAGGGGGCAGCATTTGCCCGAGACCTTACAATTCGTTGCAGAGCCAGGCCAGCCAGTGCTCTTTCTACCACACGGTATTACATACATCTAATATTCAAAGCATCACAGTGTTTTGGTAGGTAGAAACTTGTGGCTGATGGGTGAGCATCAGAAATGAACTATTTCATGTTGCTCTACCCTCCTGAAATCTTCAGTTCCTGGCTGTGGTCTGTAGGACCCTTTGTGGGCTACTCCACCTAAACCTGGGAGCTTAGCTCCTTCTGTGCCTCCAACATGGGAACTCTTTCCTGCCTCAGGGCCTTTGCACTAGCTGTTCCCTTTGCCTAGAACTCTCTCCCCCAAACTGCCTCTTGGCTCACACTCCCTCATGTCTTCTAGCTCTCACAGAGAGGCACTCTCTCACCGGCCAACCTAATGTTGATCCTCACTCCAGTCTCTCAAACATCTTGTTTCGTATCCTTCATCACCCTGTTCACATCTAGAATCATCTTGGTTAGTTGTCAGAGGTCTGCTTTCTTCTCTAGAATGATGGCTGTTGGGAACTTGTTCAGTATCCTGGGTACTGAGCAGACACTCTTCGAATACGTGGGGAATGATGGGGTGGAAGTTGGCGTGTGACAAGAACAAGGCAGACAGCATGTTACAGAAAGTCTGTCGGTTTATTCAACAAGTCACAATCACAATTGTACACGGTAAGTCAGTTCTTCACAAAGGCTCACTTTTCCAGGCAGGAGAAGAGAGGTTGGTGGTCTTGAGCTTTCTGTATGGAATACTCAGTCTGCCTTCTCAATATTCCTTGCCTGTAGTCCCTTTGGGATCCCAGTGTTCAAGCCAAAAACGGGGCAGAAGCCCAACCCTGTTATCTGACACGGCAGAATCGAAGCCATGTGGGGAGCAGGTGTTAAGAGGGCCCTGTCACCGGGGATGTAGGTCCAACTCTGGCAGTGCACCTTGGCTCAAGATCAAGTTTGGACTGAAATATGACTTGGATTTTCACAAAGAGAAAGTAGAAAGGAATTCCAGAGCAGGACTGCACTCCTTGCCCCTCTCCCACACTTAAAAATCTTCAGAAAACACTAAAAATGCACTGCCTCCCAGGAATTATAAAAGATCACCCAACCTGTACAAACTAGGATCGCCGAAGCAAGGAATCCAGGTTTCTCAGTTACTACTGTAAAGTGCTTTGCCACTCTTTTGAGACTCCAGAGACAGAAAAATGAAGACGCACGGAAAGAAACATGGAGTCATTTTAAAGGGTATCATCTCTTTCTTCAGGAGAAAAAGAAATTCAACAGGTAGGTTTGCAAAGTGAAGATAATGTGGACTTGGGGATCTGCTGCATCAGCAGCGAGAGGTGCTCCTTCTCCCTTAGGCCTGTGGGAGTTCCCCTCTCTGCCTTTGAACTAGTTCTTCCTCAAGGGGAGGATGGCTAGTTCCGGGATGGTTTTCAAAGTTGAAAGCACCAGGCAGAGGCACACAGTGGGATGGCTTTTTACACATGTGCCTGAACACTTGGCCACCTCCCAAGGCCTTGTATTTCCAGCAAAGATGTTCTCTGCATTGCAGAATGCTTCTGGAGACCCCCTGTGGAAAGGCTGCTGGTGGGCCCCGTGGTCATGATACTTTCCAGCCACACCGCTTTGTGACCGTCTGCCAGAATAGAGAGAGCAAAAGGGGCCCACACCGTCACCCATTACCCAGATGAGAGCACCCCCCAGACTCCTGGCTGCTTTATTGAGCAACAGGGGGCAGGTGAGCAGGAACCAGAATCTTTGAGACAGGTGGTTTTCAAAAATGAGGCCAAAACAATGAGTGGTCAGTATTTGTCATCCGTCCGATGGTCAGCTAAGCCATGAACTTCTCTCTTTCCTTTCCCTATTACACACTCTGGCCAGTCCCAGCACCTCCGGATAAGGGCTCACAGCAAGACCTGCTCAGGGGAACTACCCCTCCCTTGCTGAGGGGGTCAAACCAGACTTGAAAGGAGAACCAAAGGCTGGGAAAGAGGAAGGCTGTGGCCTGCTTGCTGCTCCTGCTGTCCACACGGGTCCTGGTCTTGCCGAGGACACGGCCACCCACTTGGAAGGGGACCACTTGGGAATCTAGCGAGTGCTCGGCACTCTGTCTGCAGGCTGGGATGGGGGACTACAGGCATGGCCTCCAAACACGGCCCTCTCCCTGGGGCTGCTGAGGCCCTTCCAGGCCATGGACTAAGCGAGTTGTCCAGCTGCCCTTTTAATTTGGAGTGTTCCTTCCACGAACTGGAACAACTCTCGCCTCTGGCCCTCGAGGGACTTCTCCGTCTCAGATCCTGCTCTAGGCCCAACGTCTCCTGCTTGAAACTGGAAGTTCAGAAACACACACTCATCCAACAGAAACAGCACACACCACCACTAATGTTTCCCCTCCCCCCAACCCTGCCCCTGGAGGTTTGTCTAGCAAGGCACTAGGAAATTATTCAAGTTTAGGGATTTGCTGTACATTTGCATTTTCTTTTTAAAAGGCACAGTTTTTATTTTAATGATGCTGCATTGCTTTCTGAGGATGACCCCTAATTCAGCTCTCCAAACTGCAACACTCCTGTTCTCCTAGATCCTGGAGGGGGCCTCCTCTTCGGACTCCTTCCTATCGAGGACCACTTCAAAAAATAGAGCACTCATCTGGAAAAGACATGAGGGATCAACAAGCAAGCTTCCACGAGCACAGGTGGCCAGGGCAGGGCTCGTGCGGGGGCAGAAGTGGAGGGAGTGATGCTTTGCCAGCTCTATGCTTAATCGGGGTGGTGATGGTGGTTGGGAGTTTATGCCCCCACCCCCCAGATAAATGATGGCCTTGAGATCAGCCAGCATCTCAAAGGCAGATTTGTGGCTCTGTTCCCAGATTTATGTTGCATTTAATTGCTAAATGACACAATCGAGAGATCCAACTCTAATTGGAACACTGATTTCCAGTATTTCCCGGACTAGCTGGTGGAAGCCATTGGCTGTGGCATGCAATTTCCATCTCTGAATCAGTGGGTGGCAGGCTGGTTACAGCAACGATTCCTATTAGTTTGGGAGCCCTCTGGGAGTCTGACACATAATTAACAAAAGGTAAACACGAGGGACTGGCATGGAGCTGGGTGTACACCTGCCTGTGGGGTGCTTTACTCCAGGGGAGGGTGGGGGAAGTTTGCAGGGCTTCGGAACTGTGCTGAGGACCGCATCATGCCAAGGTCTCTGGTGCGAGCTGACGGACACAGGTCACCCCCCCCACCGAAACCACCAACCTCGGATTTCAAAGCTTGTCTCAGGCTGGGGGGCTGCCTTGGCTGTACTACACTTGGCTGGCTCTTTTAAATCACAGCATTCCAGAAATCCATACTGGGTGCTAGAATACCAGAATCCCAGGTAGCATTCTAGGTTGTGATCCAATGATAGAGTTCTTGAAAAATTCTAGAGTTCTATATGAGAACTAGAGCCGTGATGAGGTCAGAGGCTGGGCATCTTGCCCACCTTGGAGGCCTCCAGACATTTTGAGGTGAGCACCTCATACGTCTGCTCCTCTCTTAGGGCAGGTAATTGCCCAAGACAGAAAGAGGAAAACAGAAGCACGGCTCAGGGGAACTCCGCCAGCATATCTAGTTTGGGGGGTCTTCTAACTAGGCCCTTTCCACAGGCCCGAGGCCAGGTGAAACACACCTCTGAGTAGCTGGTGGCTGAGCTGTCCTGTGCCTGCAGAGCACTAACGTGGACATTTCCAGTGCCCAGAGAGCAAGGAGAGCCATCCCATGCGTCCGTGGCAGCAAAGGAATGTCTGGGGGTCCCACTTCTGACCCCAGGCCTGGCAGTTGGCCAGTGCTCAGTATTGAACGCCATGAGGGTCCGGGTGAGACCTTTGATCACATCATCTGGGGCTGTGACAGAGCACGGAAGCTGGGCGGTAACTGCAGCTAGCCCACGACAGGCAGACACTGAACGGCTGGCACCAGTGGCCCGGAGAAAGGCCTCCTGCCCCCCCTCTGCTGCAGATGGGGTCACTGGTGCTACAAGCTGCCCACACAGGCAAACGTTGCCCCTTTTCCAGAGGACAGTCATGTATGAGCCATCTGAAGGCTAGGCAACCTTGTGGGACCCGTTTCGGGGTGGCCTAGGGCTGCCCTGGCATTCCTCCCACATAACGCTCAAGGGATCGCAGGAACAAAGTTGAGAAGGCCCTCCTGGATTTCCATGATGCCATCGGGGGTTAAAGCAGGCACTGCTCTCTGTGAGGCCTCTTGTGGGGTCTGTTCTCCACCCCACCTCCAGGCCTGGGCTTCAGGGAAGCAGGCGGACCCCTGCTCCAGCTTTAAGAGCCCTGCGTGCCCTAGACCGGCGGGCCAGCACCTCTCACATCACGGCGCCCACAGAAGCCCTGCCTCCCTCGGAGAGGAAGTCTGCAGCGGGGCCAGGCCTGCTGAGGACACGTGAGGGCTCAGTCCCTGTTAAATTTTTCCAAGACTGTCGAGTTGGTGTGTTCGAACAGCCATTGCTGGGTGAGAGAAGAGGGGTTACAGGTGTTCATGAAGATCCGGTGGTCACTCTCACTGCAGTCCATGCAACTGTCGCTGACCGGGTGGTACAGGGTCTTGTCCTAGGAAACAGGGAGGCCATCAGCCGGGCGGCGCTGGGGACACGCCCAACAGCAGCAGCAGCCCCGGCAATGCGGCCCCGAGTGAACACGGGGCTGGCTGGCCAGCCACCCGCGCCCCGCCAGGCTTCCCTGCTCCGCCCGCCCTGGCCCGGCCCCGACCGAACCCCGGCCCGAGCCCGGCCCGAGCCCCGCCCGGATGCGGGCGGAAGTGACGCGCCACTTCCGGCCCGCGCCCTACGCAAGCCCGGCTCCCGCCAAATTCCACCGGTTCTCATGATGCCTTTTGCTTTGTTTTATAATGGACTCAGTTGCCAACATTTAAGATCCTAGAGGTTTCACACAAAAATCTTGGATTTCTGGCCGCTCTCGAATAACTGAGAAGTCGGGCATGGCGGGTTTGTGGGACAAATGCGTGAGTGAGTGGGCTCGGGGCGGGGGGAAGGAGGGAGGCACGGCGGCGTGTTTATCTGCTTGTCTTTTTCTAAATCCAGCCCGTTGCCCTGTCCCGCCCACGCCGCCTGCCTTACTTGGCGGTACTTCCACAGCTGGTTGCCCTTCATGCTGTGGCAGTCATAGAGGGTGACTGGGCTGGTGTGGGAGATGGCGTCAAAGCAGAACTTCTTGGTGTGCTGGGGGTCTCCGGGCCGGATGTCCTCTCTCCAGGTGAAGGTGAACACCTGTGCATACAGGGACATCGTCACGGGGACGGCAAAACCAGGGGACTTTCTCCCTTTTGGAGTGATAGTTAAACACAGAGATCCAGAAAACACCATTGACCACACCTGTTCCAATCACCCAGCTTCAAGTTACCAACTCGCGGTGGATCTTGTTCCAGCCCTACCCCCACCACGACCCCCCACCCCCACATTATTCTGAAGCAAATTAGAGACCTCACATCATGTCAGGTGTAAAGAGTTCACGGAAGTGCCATTATAGCAATAAAAAGTTACCACGAAGTCCTCAATGTCATCGGGTAGCTAGAGTTCAAGTGCTCTTGCCTTGTAAGTTTCTTTTCATAGTTTGAATCAGGATCCAGACCAGGTTCACATACTGCATTTGGCTGAGAAGCGTTTTTTGTTTATTTTTTCCAGCAGCTTCATTGAAGACTAACTGGCGTACAATAGACTGCGCACATTGGAAGTGCACAATTTGATATATCTGACTTGTTTACAGCTGTGAAACCACCACCATCATCAAGGTCATGAATATATCCATCACCCCAAAAGTATGCTCACATCCCCTATGGTCTCTTCCTCCTGTCCCTCCTCATTCCCCGTGCCTCTGGGCAACCACTCCTCTGTTTTCCATCACTAGAGATTAGTTTGCAAGTGCTAGAATTTTAAATAAAAGGAAGCCTACAGTGTGTATTTTTTTTTGGTCTGATTTCTTCCACTCAACATCATTTTGTTAGGACAGCATTTATCAATAGTCTGTTCCTTGCCATTGCTAAGTAGTATTTCACTGCAACGTACTCCTTTTACCTGTTCTTAGACATTTGGATGGCTCTCAGTTTTTGGTTATTACAAATACAGCAGCTAAGAACATTTGTGTACAAGTCATTGTATAGACATATACCTTCTTTTCCCTTAGACAAATAGCTCAGAGTGGTATGGCTGGATCATACGATAGATGAATGTTTAACTAAGAAACTGCTTTCCAAAGTGCTTGTACCATTTACATTCCGACCAGCAGTGTATTCTTCCAGTTCCCCTACATTCTTGCCAACCTTTGGTATGGTCAGTCTTCTGAATTTTAATTTCCATTTTTCCAACGGAGTTAAGCATTTTTTAATGTGTTTAGTTGCCACTAATATACCTTCTTTGCTAAAGTGTCTGTACAAATCTTTTGCCATTTTTAAAAAAAGAATTTATTTGACGGAGAGAGACACAGTGAGAGCAGGAACACAAGCAGGGGGAGTGGGAGAGGGAGAAGCAGGTCTCCCGCTGAGCAGGGAGCCTGATGTGGGGCTCGATCCCAGGACCCTGGGATCATGACCTGAGCCAAAGGCAGACGCCAAACGACTGAGCCACCCAGGCACCCTGCCCATTTTTAATTGGATTTTTTTCTTATTATTGAGTTTTGAGAGTTTTATATATTTTGGATCAAAGTCCTTTATCAGATACATGTTTTGTAAACATTTCCTCCCAGTCTGTGGCTTGCCTATTTTCTCAATAGTGTCTTTTAAAGAACAGAAGTTTGTTTTTGTTTTTTTGTTTTTGTTTTTTAAAGAAGTCCAATTTATCAGTGTTTTCCTTTTATGGATTGTGCTTTTGGTGTTTTATCTAAGAAATCATTGCTTTATCCAAGGTCATGAACAGTTTTGCCTACGTTTTCTTCTGAAAGGTTTTAGGTTTTAAGTCAATACACCATTTTGAGTTAATTTTTCACATATAATATAAGGCATGTATTGAACAATTTTGGGGGGCATATGGATATCCAATTGTTCCAGCACCATTGGTTGGAAAAGACTATCTTTTCTCCACCGAACTGCCTTTCAACACTGGCAAAAACTGATTGTCCATATACATGTGGGTCTATTTTTGGTCTCTTGATTCTGTTCCATTGATCTTTCTTTATGTCAATACCACACTGTCTTGAATGCTGAGAGTTTGTAATGTATCTTGAAACCAGGCAGTGTGCGTCCTTTAACTCTGGACTTCCTTTTGCAAGTTGTTTTGGCTATTCTAGGTCCTGTCCATTTCTGTGTGAATTTTACAATCAGCTTTTCACTTTCTGTAAGAAAAGCCTGCTAAGATGTTAGGATTGTGATGAATTTACATAGTGGTTTGGAAAGAACTGACACCAATACTGAGTCTTCCAATCTCTGGACATGGCACAGATCTCCACTTACTTGGGACTTCTCTCTTTTTTACCAAAAATGGTTTGTAGTTTTCAGTGTACAGGTCTTTTGTCAATGACAGATCTGAGGATTATATTTTTTTTGGGTTATAATAAGTGCTTGTTTTTAATTTTAATTTCTGATTCTTCATTATTCATATATAGAAATACAGTTGATTTTTGTATCTTACAACTTTGATAAGTTCATTTATTAGTTCTGGTAGTTTCTCTGTAGACTCAATTGAATTTTCCACAAAGATGATCATAGAGTCTTCCAAATAAAGATTGTTTTCCTTTTTTGCCCACCTGCAGGACTTTTCTTTTTCTTGCCACAGGTTAGAACCTTTAGTACAGTGTCAAATAGAAATGGAAGGTTGGAATCCCTGTCTTGTTCCTGATCTTAGGGGTAAAGCATTCAGATTTTCACCATTAAGTATGATGTTAGCTGCAGGCTTTTTATAGATGACCTTGATCAAGTTGAGGAAGTTTCCTTTTATTCCTGGTTTGACGAGAGTTTTTATCAGGAATGAATGTTGGATTTTGTCAAATGCTTTTTTTCTGGGTAAAGGTGATTATATGGGGGGGGGCGGTGCCTGGGTGGCTCAGTTAAACGTCTGCCTTCAGCTCAGGTCATGATCCCAGGGTCCTGGGATCGAGTCCTGCATTGGGCTCCTTGCTCAGCGGGGAGTCTGCTTCTCCCAATTGTGCTCTCCCCCTGCTAGTGCTCGCTCTCACACTCTCTCTCTCAAATAAATATATAAAATCTTTTAAAAAAAGGTGATTATGGGCGCCTGGGTGACTCAGTTGGTTAAGCGACTGCCTTCGGCTCAGGTCATGATCCTGGAGTCCCGGGATCGAGTCCCGCATCAGGCTCCCTGCTCGGCGGGGAGTCTGCTTCTCCCTCTGACCCTCCTCCCTCTCATGCTCTCTGTCTCTCATTCTCTCTCTCTCAAATAAATAAAATCTTTAAAAAAAAAAATCTATAAAAAAAGGTGATTATATGGTCTTTCTTTTTTTTTTTTTTTAAAGATTTTATTTATTTATTTGAGACAGAGAGAATGAGAGACAGAGAGCATGAGAGGGAGGAGGGTCAGAGGGAGAAGCAGACTCCCCGCCGAGCAGGGAGCCTGATGCGGGACTCGATCCCGGGACTCCAGGATCACGACCTGAGCCGAAGGCAGTCGCTTAACCAACTGAGTCACCCAGGCGCCCTGGTCTTTCTTTTTCAATTTGTTAACATGGTGAACCTATTGATTAATTTTCTAATATTAAACTCACCGTCCATTCCTGGGATAAATTACACTTAGTCATAATGGATTATCCTTTTTATATATTGCTGGATAGGATTTTCTAATTATTCTTTCTTTATTTATTTGACAGAGAGAGAGAGACAGCGAGAGAGGGAACACAAGCAGGGGGAGTGGGAGAAGGAGAAGCAGGCTCCCGGCTGAGCAGGGAGCCCGATGCGGGGCTTGATCCCAGGACCCTGGGATCATGACCTGAGCCAAAGGCAGACGCTTAATGACTGAGCCACCCAGGCGCCCCTGGATAGGATTTTCTAAAATTCTGTTTAGAATTTTTGCATCTATGTGCATGAGGGATACTGGTCTGCAATTTTCTTATAATGTCTTAGTCTGGTTTTGCTACTAAAGTAATGCTGGCCTCAAAATAAGTTGGGAAGTATTCCTTCCTTTTCTGGAAAAGTTTCTGTGGACTTGGTAACATTTCTTCTTTAAGTGTTTGGTAGAATTCACCAGTGAATCCATGTGGGCCTGGATTTTTCTTTGAGGGAAGGTTTTCAACTGCAATGTCAGTGTCTTGAATAGAATCCTGTTGTTTTCCAGTCGGGCTGGTGAGAGCAGGCACCATCCCTGGCCCTGTGTGAGCACTGGGCGCGGTTCCCTCTCATCCTCTCAGGATTTTTCCAGCCCAGGAAGCTCCCTCACACCCGTGCATGGATCAGTACTCTACCAAATGTACCAGAGGGACTCGGTAAATCCCACAAGTTCTCTCTGTGTCTGGCGCTCTCCTCACCTGTATTCTATTTTGTGAATTCTAGCCACATTGGTCTCCAACACTGTCAGCTCTGTCTCCCCAGCTCGGGAGTCTGCTTGGCTTCCCTGGGTCCTCCTCCTTGACCTGTGGCCTGGAGACTCTCTCAAGGAAGGACTGGGACAGCTATAGGGCTTACCTTGTTTGCTTGCTATCCCTCAAGGATTATTGTCCTCCATTGGTTGATGTCTGCTCTCTTGAAAAACAGTTTTCTACATATTTTGTTGGTTTTTCAATGCTTCTGGCAGGAGGGTAAGTCCAGTCCACATTACTCCACTCCAGCTTGGCCAGAAGCAGACATGATGGTGGCCAAGGAGTGGTACTGGCAGCTCCTGTCTCCTGATGGTTTGTTTCCCAGGCCTCTGTAACTCAGGGGCTGCATTTTAGATTCTTATTTCTCCCTTTACAGGCTCACCACAGCTCTCTGCTCAGGGTTGAGAGCCCTGGGGGATCTAGATCCCACTGGGGCAACTGGGCTGCCATGCTTCCCATTTCAGATGGGGGAGGCTGGCACAGCCACGCACCCAGGCACCATTTTGTTGCTTGTTTGAGGGAATCCTCAGGCATTAATGTGGACTCTCTGCCACACAGTGAGGCTCTTCTAGGCTGAGCAACTTGGGCACATTCTATCCAGGCCCTGTGCTGTTTCTGGTCTCTCTTAGGGTCCTAGAGTGGGGTGGGTGTGGGGAAGCAGTCACATGCTGCCTTGGAGAACTCAGGAGAATCGGTGAAGGAGAGCCACTTCTAATAAGAATTGTTATCAAGAAAGGAGGGGGGAGAGCAACAAGGATTTCCGAGGGAGGAGCAGACACTGTCAGGCTGGGCACTGTGCCCATCGGAGAGGCGGTGCTCTTCCTTCTCAGCATGCATACCATGCAACCCTCCTGAGTTCTGTTTTTGCAGAGGACCCACAATGTAGGCTTCTATCCATGTGCACTTCCAAAATGCCAAAAAACCCATAGTTAGGAGACTATAAAAATGTACCCTTGAACCAAGATTCAGTGGATGTGGTGTGGTTTGGGGGTTATTGCTTAGAGGAAGGGACCACGGAAAGCTAAATGCAGTTTCTTCAGAGTGGTGCCTTTTCCTGCACTGCTGGCTTGCACTCTTCATTCTTCGGATAACACCCCTAGGGCATGATCTCCTGGGGAAGCCACCCTCTCCACTCTTCTCCCCATCCTTCGGTGAGGCTGACCACACCCCGGGCTCCAGGAGTGGGCATGTGACCTGGGCCTAATCAATAAGAGGACTCTATCACATCCCTATTGTAATGGGCTCAGGAAAGCCACTCAGCACGTGAGTGCCCCAGGGCTTTTCTAGAACTCTGGAAAGGGACATGCCTTTTCACGGAGGGATTGGAAGCCTTTGTTGCTGGTGGTCCCATCTGCCAACACATGGGAAGAGCCAGGTGAAGGACGAAGCCCACGGAGAGGAGGCAGAGTTGAGACCCTGGAGGGGTCCCACTGAACATCACTTAAGCTTTTCAGCAACATGAGCCAGTATGTTCTCCTTTTTGTTGAAGGCCATTTAGGCTGAGTGTCTGTTGTATAACTAACAGACCAGATTGGTGATTTCATTGCAATGTGAAGGATTCCTCTTTCTAAGGTGTTCAGGAAGCTCTTATAACTCATCTCCTGGGCTAACTTTTGTCAGTCATCATTGACCCATGGCCTCTCTCTCCCAGCCCTGACCATGTGAGCATTCCAGGCTGCATACGACACAGGGGAGCTGGTTGCCGGTCCCGGAGGAGTGGCCCTTACCTGCATGTTGTTCCAGGCAGCCTCCCCGCGGCCCCGGACACAGCTCTCCAGCCTCAGCGGGGAGCCCAGGGCCCCATGCTTCGTGTCGGCACACAGCCCTGTGCCCACATTGTGGATCTGAAAGAGACAGAAGGAAGGAGGGGACCAGTGAGCACCTTGAGATAACCCCCTGGGACCATGCTGGGGTGGGAGGAGGGAACCCAACAGAGACATCAGATGGGGAAAGTGCTGCACGGTCTTAAAAAAGCTTGGCCTGGGCTGGGGAAAGTGCCCTGTGCCTCTCAATACAGGAATACTCAGTCCACAGAGAAGAACTCTTCCAGAGCCTACTTTGTCTTAGAGCATGCAAAGTCACAGGGTGCTGGGGGTGGTGGGAGGCCTAAAGGGGGGGGGGGGGGCGGTATTCAAAGGACTCCCTGGCTCCCCTCCCAGAGAATTTGATCCACTAGGTCCAGGAATTGAATTTTATTCCCATTCCAGGTGATCCAGGGACCATACCTTGAAAACCACTCTAGAAAAGGACATGACATCTTTGCTGTAGGGTCTCGGACTCTGCCTTCTAGAGCAGGTGAATGGCAAAAGGTTCTCAATCCCAAGAACAACAGAAGTTGCAGTGAGACAGGTGTGGTGTGGTGGGAGGAGCCCCAGGCTGGGAGCCGAAGGCCTCACTGCTCCCAGTTAGCCAGCATCGCTGGCTGATGGCCACCGTGATGGTGCCGTATCCTGGAGTTCCTGTGGGGTTCCTGCCTCAAAGAAGCACTCGGTTTTGACAGAGGGTTTGGAGGTGTGGTGGTCGTGAGTTATCCTGTGGTGGCCACCCAGTTATCCTGTTGCAGGGAGTCTGACTGCCCAGCGGCTGTGTTCTGAACCCACTGTGTCTGAGTGGAGGCCATGCTGCTTCCAGCCAGCATCTGAGGGTGGCAGGGGCACCGCAGCAGGCCCGTTCCTGGGGATGCCAGATTCCTCTGATCTGGCTTAGTTACTTGGCTCAAGCTTCCTCAGGGCATCTTTGCAGTTTGGGACTCCTCCTGTCCCAGCCCTTCCTCCTCCCCTCACCCCCTCCCAGAGGGCAGACCAGCCAGCCCCACAGTGAATCTCCCAGCCTCTCCTGGCTCCCTTCTTATTTATTCTCTCAGGTGTTCCCCCAACAAGTCTTTTGGTGTCTGTTTCTCAGAGGACTGGACCTAATACAGGGGAGAAAGCCCATAAAATGGCAAAGAAATGAAGAGCTTCATGAGGGAAGTCAACATGACACATCCTTGTACAGGTGTTGGGTAGGGCTGGCCAGACAGCTTAGTCAGTTAAGGTCCCTCTAACTTGCTGTGTGAAGTTGAACAAGTCATACCTGGTGTTTCTGCTGGCCCAAATGCATCTGTCCTTCCTCTGGTAACAACACCCTGATTTCCCTCCCCCTCCCCCTTTTTTTTTAAAAAGATTTTTTTTTTATTTATTTGACAGAGAGAGACACAGCGAGAGAGAGAACACAAGCAGCGGGAGAGGGAGAGGGAGAAGCAGGCCCCCTGCGGAGCAGGGAGCCCGATGCGGGGCTCGATCCCAGGACCCTGGGATCATGACCTGAGCAGAAGGCAGACGCTTAACGACTGAGCCACCCAGGCGCCCCCCCTCCCTTTTTTAAAAAAATATTTTATTTATTTGACAGAGAGAGAGACAGCGACAGAGGGAACACGAGCAGGGGGAGTGGGAGAGGGAGAAGCAGGCTTCCTGCCGAGCAGAGAGCCCGATGCGGGGCTTGATCCCAGGACCCTGGGGCCATGACCTAAGCCGAAGGCAGATGCTAATGACTGAGCCACCCAGGCACCCAACACCCTGATATGCTATGGGGCTACCACTCCTTGTCCACCCTGCGGCCTGTCAGCGTATCTGTCCCACCCCTGCTTGTCCTGTGGACCGCTGCAGACCCAAGAATAAGACCTTTGCCGGCTTTACTGGGAAGGAGGCATATACTTTCTGCTGACTGGCCAAGCTGATGGTTTGTCAACCATCTTGCTACCCTCAGCATGAGGCTAACACAGAAGGAAGCAGAGGTAAACAGGAGAAAAAGAAACTGACATCATTTGAGTCCCTGGATCCAGGTGTGTCCGAAGCAAGAGCTACCCAAAATTTCTACGAGAATTAATACATTTCTCTTTTCACTTTAAATTGGACTTCTGTCACCTACAAGTAAAGGAGATCCAACTCTTATGCTCATTGTCCCCAAACCTCAATATATCCATCTATAAGGGAGTGGTTCCTCTCAGCTCAGAGACCCAGAAGCCAGAATCTGGTGACGGAGTGCTTCTCGCCCTGGAAGATGGCCTGTGTCCCCCAGCAGGACTGGCTTCCTAAGTGTATGACATGGGCAGCGGCCCAGGGCCCCTCAGCCAGAAGGGCCTGCCATTGGCTTAAAGTTTTGCTATCACTGTCTTGAATTTTTTTTTAAAGGTTTATTTATTTGTTTCAGAGAGGGGGTGCAGAGCGAGAGCGAGAGTGAGAATCTTTTTTTATTTTTATTTATTTTTTTTATTCTTATGTTAATCCCCATACATTACATCATTAGTTTTAGATGAAGTGTTCCATGATTCATTGTTTGTGCATAACACCCAGTGCTCCATGCAGAATGTGCCCTCCTCAATACCCACCACCAGGCCAACCCATCCTCCCACCCCCCTCCCCTCTAGAACCCTCAGTTTGTTTTTCAGAGTCCATCGTCTCTCATGGTTCATCGCGAGAGTGAGAATCTTAAGCACAATCCCCACTGAGCACAGAGCCCAACTCGGGGCTCCATCTCACAACCCCGAGATCACGACCTGAGCCAAAGCCCAGAGTCAGACACTCAACCGACTGAGCCACCCAGGCGTCCCATCATAGTTTGATTTTTAGTAATCTGATTTTTGAATTTGTAAGTGAAACCTGATAGGACAACGGAGCACGAGCGTGAGCAGAGCTGATGACACACTACACGTGCATCCGCTGTACCTTTCTCCTGTGTTTGCATACAGCATCTGTGATGCCCCACAAGCACAGCATCCCGGGGGTCCCGCATGCACGGGAGTTTGGCAAGACTCAAGTTACGGCTATGACTAAGTGGGGTGCTGGCAGGTCTGAAGGCCACCCTTTCCTTTCCAACCAGGACTAGACTGCACAAAGGAGGGCCATGGCATTCTGGGCCGATGAGTTCTATCGTATCCTCTTACTTGTGTTACTGCCCTGGACCAGCCACGGCTCCCCTCACCAGCCGCAGATAACCGCACAGAAGGAAGAATAGGACAGCCCATAGTTCGCTTTCCTTCCACCCTTCCTCACTCATCAGCAAGCTGCAGGGAGAGCGTCTTGGTAGAAAGTACGCATTATCAACAAGTGAAATAAGATCAGCTGAGTCAGTTCTGTGCAGGGTTTGCACTGTTCTGGTAAGAAATACATATGCATGCACAAGGGTTGAAATACAGATTGTGAAATTTCACCCATCTGGCACATGAGTTAAATGCTCTTCTGTTTGCATTTAAAACTGGCACTGCAGAATATGAAGATGAATGGTAAGATTTCTGCTAATAATTTAAGGTTTTAATTTTTCCCTACTTAGAACATTAAATAGCAAATAAAAAAACCCCACCACCACAAGGCTAGAATCAGGAGAGCTGCATCTGCATTTTGCACTGGGCCCCACTTATGTAGCCGCCCGGGCCCTCCGGACTCACCTCCCCCCAAGCTGCGGCGGGGGGCTCCACGGGCGGGTAGAATTTGGGCAGGTCCCAAGCAATCTTGGTCATAAACCACTTGAAACTCTTGCAGTTAAGGGAGCTGCGCAGCTTCTTCTGGGCGGCGACGTCCCCAGCAGAGAGGTGGCGGTACTCGGGCCGGCGCTGGTAAATGTGCTCGGCATACTCATCCATCCACACTTCCGCCACTCGCTTCAGGTTCTGGAGGGCGACAGGCAGGTGGAAGGGTCAGGCCCTCCGAGGGGCCGAGGCCAGGGAGGGAGGGTCGGGGAGGGGAGCAAGGGTCCTGGAAGTTGAGGTTAATCCTTCTTATTTTACGTTGCATCAAAGACCCTAGCCCCACCGTGTTTTTAAAGCCTTCTATACTTACTTATGCATGGTTTTAGGACTCTACAACTACTGGCTGAATAAAAGACGGCTGGTGTTTTACCCGCCCATCTTCCACCCCCTTTTTCTGTCTCCTCTGCCTCACCGTCCTCTCAGGGGGCTTCAGGAAAAGGTACAAGAACCAGCCTGACGAACGGGAACCAGCACGGGCATAGGGATTGGCCAGCAGCGACCACGTGACACACGCCGAGCCAATCAGAATCAAGAGGCGGCGGTCTTGGCAATTTCACCGGAGCTCTAGGGAAGAATTGCTCTGTTTCTGCTTGGATTGCTGGGTAAGGTCTGACGCGTGAGGTGGAGGCCGGAGCTGCTGGGCCACGGGGACAACCTGACCAACGGTGAATGAATGAAGCAGAGCTGAGGCCTAGACGAGAAACACACTCCTCCTTTTAGTACCTGAACCCGGCCGTGCCTGAAGTGAGCACTATCCCGGGACCTTCCGTTCACTGAAGTCGGTAAATTCCCTTTCTGCTTATGCCAATGTGAGTTGGGTTTCTGTCATTTTCTACTGAGTGCTGACCAAGTTGCCTGGTGAAAACAAATGATAATTTGCAACCCAAAGGTTGCAGCAGCTGGAATTTTAAATAATCCTTTGAGGTGCAAATTTGCTGCTACGTTTGTTATGAAACACAAGGATAATCAATAAAAAAAGGACAACCACATTATTGGCAAGTAGGGGCAGCAGGCAGGAAAACCACCTGTTTGTCGGTAGATTTGGAGATAGAGGAAAAGTGAATTCGTCCGTGTAACCAGGAGGAAGATTCCTCATTCCATCTGTAAGTGTACATACCACCTGCTGAGAACCACAGACGCCTGGTCTGGAAGAGCACAGCTTCAGGGTTCAGGCGAAATTCTCTGTTCCAAAACATCTTCCTCCAACCCCTGGCTGTTGTCGGAAATCTGCCTTTCAACTCAACATTCAACTCTCCAGGCTTTATCTCTATGGTAAAGGTCGCTCCCCCACCCCCACCGCCACCCCGGCCGCCCCCACTGCAATCCAAATTTTCTTATGAAGCGTAAAAGGGAGTTAGCATTTTAAGCTGTATCAGTCATTCACACCTCAGTGTAAATGACTGCTCCAGAAGCAGAAGGTAAGGCAGGGGTCGACAAGCGTTTTTTGTAAAGGGTGAGACTGTAAATATTTGAGGCTTTGCGGACCATATGGTCTCAACTCTGAGGTAGTTATAAAGGAGCTCTACACATTATGTAAATGAGTGGGTGTGGTGATATTCCAATAAAACTTTATGGACATTGAAATTTGATTTTCATGTATCACAAAATATTCTTTCATCTTTTCACCCTATTTAAAAATGTAAAAGTCATTCTTAGCTCATGGGCCACACAAAGCAGTTTGCTGACTCCTGAGCAAAGAGGAAGGAAGCCAGCAGGAGGGGGGGCTCCATGCCAAAGGCAAAATTTGCCAACTCCTCCATTGTGCTGACTCTTGAGTTTGGGACTAGGAAGCCATTAAATTTCCTTGCCAATGCCTCATTCTTTCTGAGCACTGAAGAGGTTGACAGTGGGTTAGAAGTAATTAAGGAACAGTGTTCTACCTGCCAGGCCCCTACATGGCAAAGGCTGGGCTTAATTTAAAATTGTGCCCCAAGGAAGCTGAAAGCCTAAAAAAGCCTGCACACCTGAAGACTCTTCTTTTTCCAGTCTGCCCACCCAGGTCCTTTGGCACACTAATTTGCTCATGCCACAGGGATGCTGAAGAACTGCTAGTTTTTTCTCCAACCACAGGCTAAAGTGGCCAATCTGACCAAATTCACCAGTGTGATGGTAAAAAGATCAAATCACACAATACTTTAATTGATCCTTAAATTACTATTTTAATGAATATTGCACTTTTTAGACATGCCTCTCCCAGATTTTGAACTTTTGTACAGTTGACTGTTTTGACCAAAGTAAAGGACTTTACATTTACTTCTATTACATCTCCCCTTGCTAGAGTCACACAAAGGACTCTGGGATTTTAGGAGGCTGCGTGCTCCTCTCATCCGTCCCCCTGACATCTCCCTAGTTCCAGGTCCCAGTCCTGCTGGAAGCTGCTCTGCTCTTCTTGTGCTTGCATTACAGAGATTTGCCCAGATCCTTGGAATAAGAGGCCTTTTTTTTTTTTTTTTTTTTGGCGAGTTTGAATGGGTTTCTGTTACTTCTTTCTCTAAGATCCCTTTCCCAGGGGCAGAGACAAGAAGGATTTTTAATAAATTTAGTAAACAAACTAAGACTGGCTACTTGTTCTTGAGGTAGGCAAGCTGCTGGTTAGCTCATCCTTCTTGAATTGCCACTTCACTGCTCTCTAGCTGTTTGTCCTGGAATCTGACAACTTTAGTAAGACTGAGGTTTCTCTCTTTATGTGGCTCTTTTAGGACTTTTAGACAACCTCTTCTCAAATCTATCAAAATGATCTTCTAGGAGATAATGCTCTAGAAGAATTTGGCTGTTAAAACAAGAAGCAAACATTTACAATATGATCTGCAACTCAATGAGAGTAGTTAGATACCATGATAAAAATTCAGGGGAGCGGGCGCCTGGGTGGCTCAGTTGGTTAAGCGACTGCCTTCGGCTCAGGTCATGATCCTGGAGTCCCTGGATCGAGTCCCGCATCGGGCTCCCTGCTCGGCAGGGGGTCTGCTTCTCCCTCTGACCCTCCCCCCTCTCATGTGCTCTCTGTCTCTCTCATTCTCTCTGTCTCAAATAAATAAATAAAATCTTTAAAAAAAAAAAAATTCAGGGGAGCTTGATTCAGGCATCTTTGTGGTCCTGTAAACCTACGTGGGGTGCCCCTCTGATTGTTAACTGGTTTAAAGTCACCAGGAGACTGATAAGATACTGAGAGTTGAAAAAGAAGTTAAAATGTTTAAACACGGAATTGAGAGAAGACATTGAAATAAACTTCCCAGTCTTGTTAACGGATGGTGACATTAACACTAACAACAGCAACCACTGTTTAAGGGACAATTGCTCTGTGCCAGGCACTGGTCAGACCTAAGTGGGTTTGAATTCTAGTTAGTTAATGTCTCCACATTTCACTTTCCTCATCTCTCAGATGGGGATTAAAAGCATAGGAGAATTAAGTTCGATAGATATGTAAGATGCTTTGCATGAAGTCTAGCTCACAGGAAGTTTTTATGTGTTACTACAGCTAGCTATTATCCATTGAATTCATCTGTGGTTCAATAAACAGGAGGTCGTGGTGCCTTTTAACCAGGTGGGTCTTATAAATGACCAGAGAAGAAAAGGCTGCTTTGGAAACGATCCTGCTGAGGGGTCAGAGGTGTCCCCACGGTCCCACCACTCCCAGTAGTTGGGAGTCGCGCGCGCTCTTGGGCTTACTGAGCGACTTTGCACTGTCTTCGTGTCTGGCGTCTTTCTCGGGGCTTGCCAACAGGATCTCAGAAGAAACCTGATTCCTACCTCACTTGCTGAGTCTAGAACCGGCCGCGCCCCCGCGTCGGATGGGCTGTCCGAAGCGCCGAGCGCCGGTGCCTGGCTGTCATTGTAATCTTCTACCACTAGAGGGCACTGCTGGCTCTCTTTTTCTTCAACGCGGGGCCCAAAGCAGCCCCGGCCGCCTCCGGAGCTCAGCTCCCACCCACGGATGGAGCCCGGGCTCCCGCTGCCTGGTGGAGCCGCCCAGTCTTCTGCGTAACTTGCAGGACCGGGGCTCTTCGTGACCCCGGGCCTACAGTTCTGCACGGCATCCACTGTCGGGTGATATGGGAGGGGAAGGCGGCGGCAGGGCCGAAGGAGGCTGTCTGGACTGATGCCAAACAGGCTCCCACGGAGTGTCTCTGTCGGGAGGGGTCTCCACCAGGCACAGCTGTGCCGGTTACCTGGTTACCTTTCCAGCTTACCACAAACCTCTCTGCGGCCCTCTTTACCTTCTGGGGCCCTCCCCCCGCCCCATTTTTCTCTTGTGGTCACCTTGATTTTTTTTTCTTCCTCAAGACACTTAATATTTTAAAATTTAAGGTTTAGGGGAAGATCATTAATACAAAAAACAAAACCAACCCCAAAACAAGCCTCTGGCTAACAGAGTTCTATGTGTAGCCAGTGGCCAATTTAATTCAAGCAATGATTAATACAAACCATCTTAAGGTAATGAAATAGTTTGACACAGAATTTTTGGCAGTGAAAGTGGGGGAGGGAGCGGGGGGGGGGGGGCGGTAAGAGAAAGACACTGACATTTATTAGCCACCCTCCTGCCAGGAACTTTTAAGTGCCTTGCCTCAGGCTTTCCCCAACACACCACTCCACCTGTATTAATATTTATCTAACAGGTTTCTTTAAATCACTCCTGGTCTAACTTTGCACCTACTTCAGCTTTATCCTAAGTAATCAGATCTGGAAAATCACAAGTTAGCTACACTAATACATATTAATTTCTAATGCACATTAATTTAAACACATGTAAATAAAAATGTTCCTATGTCTGGCACCTAAAATCATCTTGTCTGTCACTTGGGGAAACTGTGCCATCTCCTTAATTCTCTGGCAATGCTAAGAGTTGTGAAAAATTAGCTTCCTTTGAACAAAAGAGGAAACACAGGCTCAGAGGAGTTAAGGCTCTTAAGGTCACAAGGAATGGGTGGTTAAGCAGGGCTTTAAGTAAGTTATTTTAAATTGGATTTCACCTAGAGAGTTGGGGGGAGTGGTGGCACGCACATCCTCACACCTGAGTCACTTGGCTTGGAGTCCCAGGTATCTCGGGAGGTCTCTGTTGTGCTGATGGGCCCAGCCCCCTCCCGCCTCCCCATCCAGGGGAGGCACCACCTTACCCGGGCCAGGCTGACTCCGGCGGGAACCTTGTAGGGTACATACTTCCGGTAGATATGGCCCACCCTGGAGCAGGGGATGTCCTCCATGCGGCCCCCACACATCCACACCTGCAGGGCGGGAAGGGAGAGAGAAGATGATATTTCTGTCTCTCATTCACCATTGCCCCCAAAGGTCATCGTCGCCTCCTTCCATGCATTCACTGAAAGCATCAGCTTGGATTGTCTGCTAAATCCCCCATTCACAGAGCGAGGAGGAAACCACGGTAGTACCAGCAGTGGTTTTAAATAGCTGACAGCGTTGAGTGCTTTCTCGTTGCCAAACGCTATGGGACAAGCTCCCCACGCACAACTGCATGTAAGCCTCATCAGAAACCCTATAAAGCGGGTAGTAACGGAGCTCCACTTTACAGAAGAAGAAACCAAGGCTCAGAGAAGCTAAGAGGCTTGTCTAAGGTCGCAGGGTTAGTGAGTGGCAGAGCCAGAATTTAAACCCCGCTTCAGCTGACTCCAGCTGAGCAAGTGCAAGTGCGCGGACAGCTGTGTTGAGAATTCTAAGGTGGCAATGGGGGCTCAGTGGGAAGGACCGCGGGGATCGCTTAGTGATGTCTGCCACAGGTATGAGAGGGGAAGAGATGGCACACAGGCTCTGTATATTTACTGACTGTGGCCTCAGGTTCTGGAGTTTCCTCCGAGATCTCTAAGCCCCCTGCTGGGTCACCCTGAGCAGAGACAGCAGCCTCCCTGCCCCGACTTCTCTGCAGTCTGGCTCCCTAAGCCCCGCAGCTGCTGTCACTGTGGAGGGGAATCCCAAGTTTCTCCTCGTGTTTCCCTACAGAGCTGGCATTACAAAGAGCTCCTGAGCTTGATGCATGTTGGTCTGATGGCAATTTGGGAATTCTTCCTAAGTATGCTGACTCACACCCACTGCGGAGCCCAGGGTAAACGGACCCTCCTCAGCAGTCCTGACTTCAAATCCTAGCTCAGCCACTTACCAGGTTTGTGACTTTGATCAAGGTACTTAACTTCTCTGAGACTCAGTTTCCTCATCTGTGGAGGATTACATGAAGCGGGCTTTGGGGATGAGATATCACATGTGAGGCGCTTACTTAGCACAAGGCTTGGCACACGGTCACAGCAGTGACATGCGCCACAATGATTCATTCAGACATTTGACTAATATGTATGGAGTATCCGCTACATGCTAAGCATTGTGCTGGGCACATACAGTGGTGAGTCTGCCAAAGCCCTTGCTCTCATGGACAGTGACTATGGTGCCCAGCTCCAGGATGGCCCCCAGTGAGCCTTGCTTTCTGGTATTTGCACCTTTAGGCAGTTCCCTCCCAAATGTGTCCTGTGAGGACGGACCCGTGTAACCAACAGAAAAGTGCAGAAATGAAGGTCATAAAAGACACCGTGGCTTCTGCCTTCCTTCGGGACCACTTGCTTTGGGGCCCCCAGCTGCCATGCCGTGAGGTCATCAGGCAGCTCTGTGGAGAGGTCGGGTGGTGAGGAGCTGAGGCCTCCTGCTTATCGTGTGAACGGGCCAGCCAGGTGAGCGAGCCTCTGAGAAAGGGATCCTCCAATCCCAGTCTATACCTCACATGCCGGTGGTCCTGGCCGACACCTTGACTGCAGCCTCGTGACAGACCCGAGCAGAACTGTCCGGCTAAGCCTCTACTAACTGCCTGAGCCACACAAACCTTGCCATACTTTCACTGCGGCTTTAGGAGGGGATATGGGAGGTATGCGGTGTTCTTTTCCTGTGGCGGTAGATAACTAACACAAAGGCAGTTTCAGATAGTGATGTGTGCTATAAGGGAGCCAAAGCAAGGCCAGACTCACTGTATGGATCTATGGATCTATGAGAGGTTCCGTTATACTGGTCAGGGAAATCCTCACTTCGAAGGGAATATTAGACACGAGATTTAAATAATGAGAAGGTAAAAGTAACATAAAGATCCGAGGGGTGAGAGAACAGGTGGAGAGAGGAGCAAGTGAAAAGGCCCTGGGATAGGGCGAGGCTTGGCTTAATCACTGAACAGAGAAAGCCAGAGGCCTGGAGCAGAAGCAGAGATTGGAGGGGAGATCAGAGAGGTGAGCAGGGACAATCATGAGGGTCTCACAGTGCAAAACAAGGAGTCTTCAGCAAAAGTGTTTAGTGAGGGTGACAATATAATCCAATTTCTATTTTACCAAGATGACTCTGCCTGTGGGGTGCAGAATGGGCTAGGGCGCAGGGAGGGCCTGGGAGGCTCTTGCAGATAGAGGCAGTCATGCTTCGGTTTTGTGGACGCTGTGGTGATGGTAGGACTCAACTGTACTTGGGACGTTACATATATATATTTATTTAAAATGGGCTCCACGCCCAGTGCGGAGCCCAATGCAGGGCTTGAACTCATGACCCTGAGATCAAGACCTGAGATCAAGAGTCAGTTACTCAACCGACTGAGCCCTCCAGGCGCCCCTCGGGGTATTATTATTAATGTCATTCCCCTGTTCCCTTGCTTATGAATGAGGAGCAGGAGTGGGAACATCTGCAACCCTGTTTCTGTGCAAAAGAGTATTTTTCAGCTTGTACGGCTCAATGGCATAGTGGGGATCTGGGTTCCTGTCTTAATTATTTCACAGGCTCTAGAAGGGCTGCTTTTCCACCTCATGCACCTGGGCATCCTCAGTCCCTCATTACCCTCCGCAGCCACTGTCTCCAACCACCCCGGATGTACTGCACCCAGGGTTCCTGCAAGGGGATATGTATGCATGGGGCGGCAATTAGTCGAAGTGCTGCCTGGAGAAATGCAATTATAGTCTGATCTTGGGGGAGAAAAAAAAACTGAGCAAGTCAATAGAACAGAACATTGGTCTTGAGATAATGGGCTCCTGATGGTAGATTAATGTCAAGGCCAAGCCAAGAAGTTTATTTTCAAAGCAGGAGATATTGATCAGGCGCCAGCATCCCATAACAATAACTCTTCCTTTATACAAAATGACTGATGTGGAAGTGATGCTTTTGTCTGGTGGATATTGCCCAGCTCGGCGCTGGGCTGCCCCTGCCTTTCGGAAGGGAGAGTGGCGCTGAGCAGGCGGGAGATACCTTACCCCGCTCTATTTTTGACTGTCTCCTGGGCAGTTGACTAGGCCGGCGTCCAGCTCCCCGGACTCCATATTAAGCTCCCATTAGCTAACGAGGATGCGTCTCCAGCTCTGCCTGGCAGGGAACCTTCCTTTATGAAGACAACAATCAATCTCCAAATCCTTCTCTTTGCTGTGACCTCTGGTTTCTTTGGCCCTGACCACGCTGGCCATCAGCCTGAAGGTTCCTGAAGGACCAGGATGTCCTTGATCTGCTGAGAGGTTTGAGGCATCCAAAATATCCTCAGACTGTCAGGACGTCCGGAGCCCAGAAGGAGTCCTGGTTTGGGATGACGGGTTTACTCCTCAGCCTCCCTGCCCTGAACATGATCCAGTGACAGCCGACTCAGAATGGGAACTGCCTTCAGACTCACAGATCCCTATTCAGCTGAAGCTGCTGCCAACTCCCGAGTCCTCTGGGAGCACCTGAACAGCCTGGAAAGGGCCCAGTGCAGGGCGCACCCAACTCTTCACAAGTCCCTCTAGCATCTTCCAAGCGGTCAGCACCTCTGTGGTGCTCGCTGGTTATGTGGCAGGATCCCAAGACTGGAGGGGACTCTCCCACCAGGAACAGGACAAAAGCTGGAGGCACAGAACGGGGTCCTGACTCGCCCCGGGGTGGGGTGTGGCCAGAGGTGCTCTTGATCCCAGGTCCCGTGGTCCTGCTCACGGCCCTGGTCCCCCGTCTGTGTACCGTTAGGGCCCTCTCCCGCCTGCCTTCACAGCCGAGGCAGCTGTCCTCGAGACCCAGGACAGCCATGGCACGGGGGCTCTGAGCACAGCCCCCCATTCCCAACGCCGCCTCGTGCGGCCGTGTGGCTACGAGGCCCTCACCCCGGGAGCCGCAGTCTCCTGTGACCTGGGCATGACGGCTCACCGCTACCTCGCAAGGCCGCTCACGTGGCATGAGACAATCATGAAAAGCACTTAGCTTGATGCCTGGCCATAGCAGACTTGACCACATTCGTCATTTCTGTTTGCAAAAGAACGGGAAACACCACCAGCTTGAAATGATACAGCATCTGCCCCTTTGCCCAACACCATCATGGTTTTTATCCTATGGCCCGATTTCTGAAATGGAGAAACTGAGGCTCAGAGACATGAAGTGGTTTTTCTGACTTGGTGGCAGAACCTGCAGCTGACGGGAATGACAGGGCCAGGTGGGGCTGGCACAGGCATGGGGCACCACTGGGGGCCCGGCAGCCCCAGGGTGCTCGCCTCTCCCCCAGGTAACACACTGGCAGCAGACTCCAGCTGGTGGCAAAGAGAAGGGGTGGGGCGCAGCCAGCAGCAGCCAGACTACATGGGGCTGGGACCCCCTCCTAGTTGGATGCGGACACACATCGACCACTGAGATGAGGTATTTGCAACCCCTCTCTGCCGTCGGCTTCCTTCCCTCCCTCCCTGTGCAGCCCCTCGCCGGCCTCCACACCCACGGGGGACGCGGCTGCCGGCTCTACCACGAGGAGTGTGCAACCCCCTCCACCACCCCATCAACTTGTTTCTTGGTGCCTCTCTCCCCTGCAGAACAGCCTTCTCACTTCTCGTGGAAGCACCATGCCACTAGACAAGTACAAATCTAATTGCAAAAGCTTGCTCCCCATTCATTTTCATTGCTGCTTTGATTTATTTTATTAGCAAACTTCTTTTGTGTGATGACAGGCTTCATTACAGTGTCTATAAAAGACAATTACTTGCTCTTATCTCCTAAACTGAGGGGGAAAGAAACAAGTGGTGATGTGCATCAGGAAGACACACGGGGGGCCCAGAGAGCGCGTGGGAGAAGGGCCTGTCCTGTTGGGGGAGCCTCCCTCTGTCGAGGACATGACTGCCTGGGTGCCACCGAGCCTGGGCGGTCGTCCAACTGCCGACAGCCGGGAGAAGGTGACAGCCAGCCACAGCTTCTGCTTTTGGCACCTGGGCCGAGGACCCCTGTGGAGTTCAAACCCTATTTAGTTGCACTTGGGGTAAATAATAAT